CTGGAAGCAGCCACTGCATTCCAGTCTGGGTGACCGAGTGAGACTCCAACACAAAAAAAAAAGAAAGAAAGAAAGAATATAATGTTACTTCTGTCCAGACAAAGAACCTAATTTTAATCATGAAGAAACATCAGACTAACCCAACAAGAAACATTCTACAAAATAACTGTTTGTAATCTTCAAAAGTGTTAAAGCCATGAAGTCTGGACTGAGGAATTATCCAGACTAGAGGACACCACAGAGATAGGTGACTTTATGCAAAGGGAGATCCCAGCTGGATCTTACTGGGTGGAACCAACATAATAATGTGAATCTTCTGGTGTCCATGGCTCTGCTACAGTTAGGAAGGACAGGGTTGCTGCGTGTAGGAAATACATACTATTCAGAGACAATAGGACATTAGGTCAGAAACTTACTCAGGAAAAGAACAGCCTACTGTTTCATAAGTTATTTCAAAATTTAAAATGAAATTTTTTAAAAAGCAGCTGTGCCAAGCAATGTAACCATCTTCATCAACAAGGTCACATTTGCAAGTTCAACCAAGGTGATCTAGTCCCTGGCTGCCCGTCCCCCCAAAAAAAACACAGTGAGGCATTTTCAGTTGCCGAACATCAAATGTTTATTTTTTAGTTTCTTACTCCTACTAAAATCTATTTGATAAGTGGCTCCTCTTAAAAGCAGATATTATTTCACAGAAATCTTGTCCTTTAATGATTCATTTCGAATTGTCCAGTGTGATGGATGAGGACACTTCAAGACACAGCTTGGACAACCAGGCCAGGTGGGCCACCACATAGGTTGTCCTTCCCACCCCCACTCCCCACACGGGAAACTGCCAACAACCCAGGGAGCACCTCTGCAAAGCCAGCTGGGTTGTCCAAGTCAGTTGCAGAGAATGCCACACTTGATTCAAATTACAAGTTCAGTATTGTACTGTACACAACCAGCATTACACATGCTTAAGAGAATATAAGTATGCATAATGACATATCCCCTACCCCCCCCAGAAGTAAACTATAAGCAGGCAAATACAGGTTGTAAAATAGCAACATATCCATTTCATCTAAAGTTAAAAATGTTGTTGTGTGTACCTTGGCTGCTTCGGAAGCCTTGGGCATGCAGACAGGAAGGGGGTGAGATGTTCCAGCCAGGAATAATAACATGGTATAGGTATTTAAGAGTCTCTCTAGCCAAATTATATTCTACAGAAGTCTATCTTGAAGGGCCAGGGCTGGATGGTTTCTAGGAGAGGTACTTGTGGCCTGACACAGAAGTGCTTCTTCACAGACCCTGGGGGTACAAGAACTGTAAGACCCACTGGGACTCCCAGAGGGACTTCATCCATTGGGGACAAGAATTGTCCTTGGCTCAGGGGAATCTCCCAACTCTTAGAATTTCACCCAGGTCTGGAGAGCAGTTCCAGGCTGGTGGGGACTAGTGAAGCCCCAAGGCGGCTCAGTCGTATTTTGGTGGCAACTTACAGTGACGGCAGCTTCTGGGGTAAAGAACGATGCGCTCTTACCCCAGGAGAATGTTTACCAATTAAAGATGGTTTTGTTTGCAATTTTAATATGACCCACAAAAACAGCCAAACTTTCAGGTAATAGCACCATGAAAACATAGATAATGTCAGGAAACAGGATAATAAAATGAAGATGCTTTTGATTCTGGGCAATGTTTCCCCCCACAAATGTCAAGAAAGCAAACCATTTTAACTTCATTTTGAGATCTAAGATGTCTTTTTGGAGCAAAACTATCCTTGTAGGGAGAACATAGGCAAATATAGTATATACACATACACACACATATAGATATTTGTGTGTTGTGTATATGTGTGTGTGTGTGTGTGTGTGTGTGTGTGTGTGTGTATCTTTATTAAGCAGCAGAGGGGAAAAAATGTAGACACAACCCCTACTCAGGTTGGCTTTCAGGTTGTCAAGTAGTTATGTAGAAGTATTTATAACAGGAAATTGAGGGCAAGAAAAAGCACCTGAACTCTTGGTGGAATGGTCAGAGGGGGTCCAGAAACTAAAGGAGAATTGGGTGTCTGAACGGATGCACTGATGTATTAGTACAGCATTGCTCACGTCCACACCAGATATAGGACAGCTGCAGGTGTGAGGCATCTCCCTCTACTGTCTGGCTGAAACAAATCTGCTCCTCCCTGCAGCAAGGAGGGGTCATCTGCTAGTAGGATGCAGCCAGTGGCCGGCCCTTGGCTGTGGGTTTGCTTTGCAGATTCAGCGTCCTTGACATCTTTTAAGGATTGTTGACAGATATGTTTGTTTTGCTGGCTGGTGCACACCTAGGAGCAGATGTGGAGACAGGGAATTCAACCCCAGAGGGGTCCGTCTATTGAGCACACATGAGCTGGGTTTTCTAGGAGGCTAGTTTCAAGCGGGTATTGGTTTTGGGAGAACTCAGCAGCACCAAGGCCATCTGTTCAAATCCCCACTGACTGATACAGTCACTGAGTGAGACACTAGCAGATGTGTGTGGCCAAATCAAGTCATACTCCATGGTCCAGAAAGTGAGGGGATGCTGCACTTCAAATTGGGAAACTCAGCCAGCGTGGTCATGCCTGCGTGCCAGAGCAATCCAGATTATGGGGTCATATCTGCAACAAAAATTTAGTATCAATTCTTGAAAAGATTCCTCTGTGCTAATTCCTTTCAACAAGCCTTCCTTTTCCTTTGCCTCTCATACACACACACACACACACACACACACATCATCCAACTCAACTTCATGCTTGAAGACTCATATTTTCCAGAAAGGTTTTTCCCAGCCCACTCTTGACTCCTGTAACAGACATTATCTGAACTCTTTGTTTTGAAACCACCCACCTCTGCTCCCAGCAGCCACTGGCACAGCCAACTCAGCACGTGCTGACTACTCTTGTACAAGGGTCCCCCAACATCTACCTGCTTTTCTGCCTCCAGACCTTCTCTGAAGACTAGAGAGCAGGCTTCTCCCAAGCACAAGGTGCTGCTCAGGGATGAGATGGAGTTAATCCCTCCAAACCAGTGGGGATGGAGCCAGGGCAGCCATCCTTCAGGAGGCCAATCCTGGGAAGTGTCTGTACACTTCCTAGGCATCCCATGAAGTCAGTGCCCACAGCCAAGCCAAGATCTCAGTACTGCACCCTCCATGTGCTGCCCCTGGTGCTTGCCTTACGCTTCCAGCCCCTCTCCCCTTCTTTCTAGGATCAACCCCCAAATAAACTACTTCCACCCAAGGCCTTATCTCAGGTTCTGCTTGCAGGATCCAAACTAGGATAGGACACATTATTATGAGCACAGAGATCAAGAGATAATATATTTTTTCAATAGTAGAGTAATGACACATGGGCTCCTCGTGAATGTCAAAGCAATGACATTAACTGTCTGGGGAACCAAAGGATTTGAACATCAATTGAACATTCTGGTCATCAATTTACGTTGTCTAAAAAATGAGAGCAAGAACTAAAGGAGCCTTTTTAGCTCTCTCCTAATGCTATAATTTCATGACAATGGATGCTATGTGTGTACCTTTTACACAGCCCTTAACACCTAGGGGTGGAAGATGTGGTAACTTCTGTCTCGTTGCATACCTCACATCGTTGCATTCCACCCTCAGAGGCATAAGACTTACAGATTTTACACAGCAAAGGCTTCACTTTTTCTTGATAGTGTTCAATTCTAACCCACAAAGAAAGTCAAAGCCCCAGCTGACTGAGATTTGTGAAGCCATTCAGCTTCTCCAAACCTGGACATTCTGCACATCAAAATAACTGAATGTCCTCATCAATTTCTCCTTCTTCCCCCTGGTAGCACCAGCCCAGATCTCACTTCTTAATCCCAGAATTCCCATACATCTGTGTTTTCTTCATAGTGATTCACTCAGTAACTTGCACTAAACTGATATTCAATAAATGCTCATTGAATGACTTAATGAACTCTTCAACAAGGAAGACTTCATCTTTCCAACTTTCAAAATATCAATTGGAAAATTGTCTTGATATAATTGTGGCTTATGAACTCTCTGTGTTTATTTTCAGTAGTGGTTTATGGATGTATTACTTATTTATTTTCAATATACTACAGAAAGCATCTATGGTCATACCACTATGAATGCACCTGATCTTGTCAATAAACTACAGAAAACGCAAGTCCAGTTAAAGTGAAAATTCAGATTTTCATAGAAAATACTAAAATTAGGCCTTAGAGACATTTTCCCTTCCTTGAAAAAAAAAAGTTAAAATTTCAGGAGTAAGGTGAAGACCTCCCCCTTCCCCTCAAGTACTGAGTGGAGTTATACCTGTAAATCTGGATTTTTTGGCTGTGGTCACTGCTGCCATGAACATGTATTCACTATTGGGGTCGTGCACGCTGGACTGATACTTCTGAAAGAAAAGGCCAGAAACACAGTTTGTTATCTGCTCCTCCCGGTCTCCATCTTTGTCTTTTCACTCTTTTCTAGTCTCTGGTGAAGTGGCATATGACAAATGCATAGTAATATGACAGATTCCTGGGTTTAGGCCAAGCAGGAGAACAAGAGAAAGGGCTTTACATAAACAGAGCTTTCTCCTGAACATTCTCATTTTCACCTTCATTGTTTCTTCATGGCTCCTGGGGCCCACCTCCTCCTCATCCCTCCTTACCTCTCCTTTCAAATTGCAGCCTGGCACAACACACACCATCTGACCAATGACCACATTGAGGGTAGACTTCAGTACAAGCAAACTCACAGGAGAAGCAGAATATGTACTTTGATTGGGAGCCTGTAACATGGGTGACTAAAAAGAATATCCCCCTGTACAGAGATTTTGGTTGTTGTCTTGTCTTCCTGAAGTGTTTTCTTTAAAAGCAAAGAGGCAAGCCGGGCTCGGTGGCTCAGCCTGTAATCCCGTGCCTTTGGGAGGCTGAGGTGAGTGGATTGCCTGAGCCCGTGGGTTCGCGACCCGCCTGGGCAGCAAGACCTCGTCTCTACAATAAATCAAAAAATCAGCCGGGCGTGGTAGCGCATGCCTGTAATTCCAGCTACTTGGAAGGCTGAGGCGGAAGGATCGCCGGAGCCCAGCAGGTCGAGGCTGCGGTGGCCGGAAGCAGCCCCTGCACTCCAGTCTGGGCGACAGAGTGAGACTCCAATTCAAAAAAAAAAAAGCAAAGAGTCTAGTAACTTGCCATGTGAGGAAATTGGCCATTCCCCTCTTAGCTACTCCTGACACCTACAAAGCTCTTCTACCAAGTGCTTGGAACTTTCCAGTTGAGCATTTTATGACTAACATTTCATCTCTGCTCTGACTCTTAGGAAGCTTAAAGTCAAATTTTCAGCCTATGCTTAAAACTTAAAAATCAGAAACATCTTTGAGTCAAGTCTTTTTTGGAATATATGGGCTATAAAATAAGCAAATGAATAAATTTCTGTTCCAAGTGATTAGATTAATTAGTAGGTATATCTTGGGGAAGGAGTAGTCTACCTGTTGATTATCTTACTCTGGCAAGAGCCATGTGTACTGTTGATGAGTTCATAATCACTGATATACCTCAGTAAAGCAAATACAAGAAAAGGCAGAAATTACTCACCTTCTTTATAAACCAACATGTAAATATGAATCCAAAAGTGCAGACTGCAACAACAGCTGCACATCCTATGGGTAACCAGAACGTCAGCTGGCAACACAGTTGTGATTCTGGGTTGGAGAAAAAGATATGTTAATGAAAAACTCTGAAAATCAAATCTCCCCTTTCAATGCTGAGCCATAATTTATTTGGCCAAATTTTAAAAAGTTGTTTAATCAAATGAACCTTTTCTTTACTACAATCATGAACTCCAGTAAATGGCAAGTTATTAGACTAACATTACCTCAGTATTATAGCAAGGATCCAAACACTAAAATCTAAAAGACTATGCACATATATGCTCACAAAAGTGGTTAATAAAAAGGGCTCTTTGCCTATAGTTTTGCAAAAGAGTTAGTAGTAAAAGTAATGTCATAAAACTATAATTTTCAATCATCTCACTTCATTCCACAAACACAGCACTAAAACAAATCTTAGGCAAATAGAGATAATAGCCATCTCTTTTTTTTTTTTGAATTAGAGTCTCACTCTATCGTCCAGACTGGAGTGCAGTGGCACGCTCACAGCCAACCCCATGTCAGCTTGCTGGGCTCCAGCAATCCTTCTGCCTCAGCCTTCCTAGTAGCCGGAACTACAAGCACACGCTACCATATCCAGTTAATTTTTGATTTATTGTAGAGACAAGGTCTCACCAAGTTGCCTGGGCTGGTCTTAAACCCGCGAACTCAGGCAATCCATTTACTTTGGCCTCCCAAAGTGCCAGGATTACAGACTGAGCCACCAAGCCCGGCCAATAGCCATTATTAAGCCATGAGTTTAGGTGTTTGCCTTACTTTTTTCCTGATTTTTAATGGCCTGTGTGTTTTAAAGATAACATAACCTATTTCCAACTCAGTAATCTATGGGATCAAATTGCATATTACTGATTACTACTAATTATTATCACAAATAATAAATCATCCCTTGCATATCTTCATCATAAGTGATTGTCATCAACTGCACTATGTACTCCTATACAAAAGGTACTTATTTGTCTGATTGTTTTCATTAATGAGAAAAGTTGTCAAAACACATATGAATTCTCAAGTTTCAAAGACAAAAGCAGTGTCTTACCATAAATATGCAAATATTCTCCTCTAACAATCCCTTCTTGAAAAGGAGGGGGATCAAAAATTGATAGTTCACAGAAGTAATAGCTGGCATGAGAACTGTCCAAGTTGTGCAGGAAGAAAGAGACACTGCTGTTGCTGGATAACTGGGATTGGCAGAAATTCGGATTCTTACTGGACACTGTGTTTTCACTTCCCTTTAGCTTAGTGAGGTCACAGAGAGCTTCCTCCCCTTTCAGCAACTGCATTTTAAATTGCTGGACAGTCTCAGGATATCTGCATAAAATTTTTACACCTCCATTGTAAAATGTAAACATTTCATAACTGGCAGAATCATTGATTTCTCCTGGATAAAAAGAAAGAAAACAAAGCAAAAGTGACATTTTATGATATGTTGCCCTAATAGCTATATTTTGACATAAAAGTAATTTCTTCTATTCATAACATCATCTCTGTTGAACCAGAAGGAAAGGGTTTCACATACAAGACCCCCAAAAAAGGAATACAAGGTAAAACGATGCCCTAGAGAAAAAAAACTAACTAGAAACTTGCTTGTTATATGTGAATATTAATATGAAACATAGGCCAGGTTGGTAGCTCAGCTTGTAATCCCACCACTTTGGGAGACCAAGGCAAGTGGATTGCCTGAGCCCTCTGGTTTGAGAACAGCCTAGGCAACTTGGTGAGACCTCATCTCTACAATAAATTAAAAGAAAAAATTAGCCGGGCATGGTAGCAAGTGCCTGTAGTTCCAGCTACTTGGAAGGTTGAGGCAGACGGATCACCGGAGCCCAGTGGGTTGACGCTGGGGTGGCCATGAGTGTGCCACTGCACTCCAGCCTGGGAGACAGAGTGACTCCAACTCAAAAATAATAATAATAGTAATAATAATATGAAAGATACCTGTTGGTAGCTTTCATGTGGGTAGCAGATGATAAACAAATAAATATGTAGTAACGCACCATAACTGGTGTTAGGAGTGGAGAACCATTTGAATATAGATAGTAGAGTTGGATGGGTTATCATTTTAATTACAGAATCAGAAAAATGCCACTTTTGAGGTATAAAGTAATTTAAACTAAAAATGAATAATTTACATATGCATATATATTTATATTATACTCACCTACTGGAGAGTAAAAGAACAGTTGAATTTTCAAGCAATATGCATGTATTTAATGTATATAAATATATGTAAATTTACATGTATATAAATTAATTTTCAAATGTATAAATATATTTTCTTTCTACCTCATCCACTGGGAACTGAATCAAGGTCTGATGGTAATAGTAAGGTTCCAGATTTTTGTTTGTTTTTCCTTGTATTTTTCTTTTTAGAGACAGAGTCTTGCTCTGTTGCCTTGGCTGTGATGCAGTGGTGTAATTATGGCTCACTGTAGCCTCAAACCCCTAAACTCAAGCAATCCTCCTGCCTCAGCCTCTCAAGTAGCTGGAACTACAGATGTGTTTCACTGTGCACAGCTAATTTTTTAAATGAGTTTTTGTAGAAACAGGGTCTCACCATATTGTCCTGGCTTGTCTTGAACTCCTGGGCCCAAGCAGTTCTCTTGTATTGACCTCCCAAAGTGCTGGGATTACAAATGTAAGCTACCACACCAGGCCCCATTTTTAAAAATAAATTTAAGCTTATAGGAAGCCAAGATTGTTTTTGTGAGCTACATTGGGGTCACAGAAAGAAGAAACTGAAATGGCTTTGGCCTCATTGCAGATTCTGAGTTATTAGACCACAAATTCAAACTGCTGTTTGTCTTCATTTTGTTTTCTTTTTCTTTTTAATATAACAGAACTTCATGCTGAAATTGTTTAGGAAAATTATTAGCATGATGGTTTTACTTAAGTTTTAAAGTAAAATTTTACTTTTACTCCATCTCTATTTTTGAGAAAACAATACACAAAGTGAATAATTTTTAAGGAAAAAAATTACCTAGTCCTCCAGTGAAAGAGAAATATTATTTGTATATTTTTGGTCTTTATCTTCCAGAAACATACTTATTATAGATAGTAACACATTCTTTTGTATTCTGTTATTGTCATTTAATGTGATAAACATTCATTTTTTTAACTAGTCATCATAATTATCCTTTTTAATTACTATATAATAGACTATAATAATTATAATCTATTATAATTTGTTAAAACAATGCTTAACACTAATGTTGGATATTAGGGTTAATCAACATTTTGCTTTTATGTAAATAAAAACATTTGGTTGAAGTGTTTAAAATTTATTATAACACCATGGATTGTCATTATGCTATGTGAAATATATGACAGGATTGGCATCATGTAGGAGGGTTCACTTGCCACACCTCTGCTTGCACTAGTTACCTTGATTTTATTTAAGATTCATCACAATTACTTATTTTTCTAGTAACTCTAGGCTTTAATTTATATACTATTATTAGGAAATAGATTTTCAGCTTGGGAGATTTTGGTGGTGAAAATAACAACAAGTGTTCCAGTTTTCAGTAATGGAAGACCCTATTACTCAAACTAATTCCCACACCAAAACGACCAAAGATGTTGAATAAAATGCCTAAAAATATTGTTTAAAAGATTAAAGAGCTGACACAAAGAAGGAGGAATTACCAGGTTAAATTCAAAAACAGAACCAGAACCCAGAGAGACAAGCAAAACCTGGAAGTTGCTTCTACTCTGAGATCATGTTCTCTTTTTCCAACTTCAAATGTTTGTTTTTATGCCTCAACTCCCAAAGACTGCAAAATGAGGAATCTAATAGAAGAGCCTCTCCTCAATAACTTGGGATCCCAAAGAGTTATATCCCTAGAGTACAGATAAACTGGAAACAAGCCAGCCTTCATGCAGATTATATGGTCCAGAACACCTTCTAGACTTCAGTGGTCCAGAAAACTTCAAGCTTTGAATTTTGTTTAAGGTGATATTACACTATTGTTACCCTTGGGATTTTGAAAGTAAAAATGCAAATCATTATAAGAAGAAAAGATTTACATCCTAGGCCTTAAGTCATTCCTACAGAAAATATTTAAATTCAATAACAAGTGCACCATAAAAATAGTGAGACACACAAGAAAACAAAGAAATAACAGAAACAACAGACCACAAAAACAAATCCACAATTTATATATTTGAATTATCAGATTCCCAGAATAAAACAATTGAGCTTATTATGTTTAAACAACAAAGAAAGACAAACTTGTAATAATATCTGCAGTACACAGGAAAAATTTTTAAGTCAACTAATATGAAAAAGAAGCAACTAGAATTGGCCCCAAAACTCACAGAGATTAAAAATTTAATGAATAGGTTTAATACATACTAGATAGAGAAAGAGAGAATTAATGAATTAGAGGATACGTTGGAAAAATTACTTAGAATCCAGTCATAATCCATAGATTAAAGAATACCAACAATTCACAAGCAGACTTTAAAAAATATACACATCTAGATATATCTTAGTGAAAATCCTAAAAGCAACCAGAGAAAAGAGACTGATTACCTTCAGAGAAGCAACTATTAGACTGACAGGTAATATCCCAACAGTAGTAATTATATTTTTGAGAAAAATTATATCTTACATTATATTTCACATCTTCAACATGCTGGAAGAAACTGCCTGTCAATGTAGAACATACTAACTAGGAAGATAGTGAAGGTATATGTAATTTGAAACTTTTATAAGTGAAATATACATGTTGTAATTTTTTGCATAATCACTAAAAAATAGAAACAGATTATTATACAACTAAATGAATATCACAAAATTCAGTCTAAGTTTTTTTGTTTTTGCTTTTGTTTTTCTAAAGAGGGAGAGAGAGTTGGAATCAGAAATTTCTCGACCTGTAGTGATCATGGGGATAAGGTAGCATGCTTTATATTCGTTGCATTACACATTTATGTTGTTTTCACTATTCTGTATGGATGTTTTGTTCTACAATAAAAAGTCTTAAAAGTATACAGAAGAAAAATAATGCCTGCTTCATTTTACAAACTAGAGGGAACAATGTAAACAAAAAACAAAGGGGAAAGAACTGACAGCATTAGAACAGGTGCAATCTATATTAGATTAAAATAAAGGGTATTTTGCTTGGGACTTTATCCATCTGAGAGTTAATTATGTCACCCTACTCTTGCTTTGATGTTTATGTCTCTACTATCTGTGGCAGAAAATAAAATCAGTGAACTGGTTTTCAGTTCCTTTAGAAATGTTTAGAGCAAATTTCCCAGAGGCTAGAATGTCAGCAAGCAAACCACAAAAGATCTTGGAGCAAAGGTGTCTACGATCACTGTGTATACACACAGACATAGATGCATTGTCTCTCTATTACTGAAGATGATTTTGTCAGCAGGTTCTACCCCCGCCCCCCCGCCTTGCATCCACACTGTCACCAACACAAGAGGAAATGAATGGTTGTCAGTGCAGCACAGTGTGAGCACTGCAGTGATTCCCAAAGAAATCAGGGCAAATTCTGCTTCTGCCCCTAGCAAGGCTCTGTGACTAGGATATCCCTCTGGGTTTCGGTCTCATCTGTGAAATAATAAAGTGATTTTTTTTTAATCTCAAAATTATTTCCAACACACACTTCCTATGGATTCAGGATCAGAACATATCCAGATAAAACTATAAACAACTGAGAGAGCTAAGATTTTGCTGTTGGGTGAATCCTCCAGAGAAGAAGTCAGATTCCCATAATCCTCTCTGTCTCAATAGCATAAAGGGTTATTCCAGCAAGTTAGAAGAAATTAAAACAAATGAGACTATTTTTCTTACCCACAAAAGCATTTAGGTAGGGTTAGAAGGCTGTGCTTCAGTTTCTCTTGAATGGCATGTCAAGAGTGTGTGCCATTGACATCAACTGGGCATGGCATTCCAACGTGCCATTTCTCCTCGACACTCTTAATTATTCATTTTATTATTTTAACTTAAAAACTACCTAGGTTGCCATTTTATTATTAAATTTAGTGATAAGGATACTGACTCAGGTTTCCACATACCCAGTGTTTAAGCTTTTCATCTGGAAAATGGTAATTCTAAGTCTGTGATTCAAATGTTTTCAACAGATAAGCTTGCTATTGTGTGAAAGTTTGTCCCCTCTGAAACTCATGTTGAAACTTAATCCCAATGTAACAATATTTGGAGATGAGGCCTTTAGAGGTGATTGGGTCATGAGGGCTTTCTCTTCATGAATGGATTAATCCCTTCATGGGTTAATAGGTTCATCAATTAGTGGTTGCCACAGGAATGGGTTAGTTATTGTGAGAGTCTGTTATAAAAAGTCAGATTGGCTCGCTCTCTCTCAAGAGCCCCCTCACCATGCAATGCCCTGCAGCACCTTGGGACTCTGAGATGTGCCCCCACTAACAAGAAGGCCTTCATCATATGTGGCCCCTAGATGTTGGACTTCCCAGCCTCCAAAACTGTAAGAAATACATTTTTTACATAAATTACCCAGTTTCAGGTATTCAGTTATAGCAACATAAAATGGACTAAGACAATGCTCAAATGCCAAGTACAAAATTTCCTTGGCCTTTGGTAGCATTTGAAAGATAGTATCAAAAGAAGACACTCCCTTTATAACTATGACTAAAGAATGTAATGGATTGACAGTTTAAGGAAACTCTGAATACATCCATTTCTTGTAATTGCAGAAGCAGCTAGGACCTTTCCTCCTTGGATGTCCTTATCTCCAAGTCTCATATTCAGCCTGGAGCACTGACATGATAGCATCACCTTTTATAGACAATGTTTGTTCTGATTCATTGGATGTCATATCTGTTTGGTCAATTCCTCTGCCATACCAGTAGTTAAAAATTGTGAGTAGACCTTACTAATCTGTTTCTTCTTGCTTTTTCCTCTTCCTCTTATATTTACATCTTCTTCACATACCACCTCTTAATAATTAAAAACAAATCCTCCTCCAAAATATTGTCTCTCACACCATCTTTGATATGCTCCTCATTCTTTCTAACATACCATTTTCATCTCTGGTAAATTCTCATAGATATTGTCTGTCCATGTTTCAAGTATCCTATTAACACCCTTACCTTCACACTCTGCTTCTTACATGATTCAACCTCTTCCTAGCATCATACACAGTCAAACCTGGTGAACTTAAAGATCATACAGCCAGTCCAATTATTTCATGTACAGACAACCAAAGGCCCAGATAGAATAAATTATTTGCCTAAGATCATATGGCTTCTTGGGTTTATGAAAGACTTCTGGTTCAGTCCATAGTCCAAGTGTTACTAGTAACAACCAACAGAAGTATAATAGATGCAGACAACCACATGAAGCTAGACAGTGGTCACTAAAGACTGAGTCTTACAGGACCACTGCTAAAATCTGTCTGCAGGAAGAAGGACTAACTTCTTATACCTTTATTTTATGTCCAACGGAATCTATCCACCTCTCCTCTATCTCAGCTGCAACTGGCCCAAACCATCATCATTCTGTGGGACCACACAAGAGCTTCCTAATTACAAGAGTTTCTGCTTTACTCTAGCCATTTACAATCCATTCTCCACAGATAAGCCAGAATGATCTTCAAACATACATCATCCATTACTGTTATTGTCCTGCTTATAAAACCTCCAGCTTCCTATCTAACTCCTTACCCAGGTTTCCTAAGACATGACCTATCCTACCTCTCCAATGCCATGTTATACTAGTACCGTACTTCACCACAGTTACACTGCCCTTCTTTCTGTTCCTCAAACACATGAAGTTGATTCCCAGAACTTTGAATTTGTCGTTTCTCTGCCTAGAATTATCTCTGATCCTCATATGGCCGCTTCTTTGTCATCATTCAAGAGTAACAACACTTTTTCAGTCATCATTGGCAACCCAATTTGAAGTACACATCTAAGCAATTCTGTATCATATTGCCTGAGATGAAGTATTTACCACTGTCTAAAATCATTTGGTTTATTTGATTACTTTCTTGTTTATTGTCTGTCTATCTCACTATAAGATAAGCTTTAAGATCAAGGATTTTGTTGGTCTTGTTCATCAATCCATCCTAAGCATCTATTATGTAATAGATTGACAATGTAAGCACCTGGTACATAGTAAGTTACAATCAATATTTACTGGATGGATACATGGATGGATGGATGGATAGATGGATGGATGGATGGATGGATGGATGGATGGTTGAATGACTGGCTGGATGGATGCATGATAAATCAATGGATGAATGGGCAGATAAATGGATGTGTAGATGGGTGGGTGGGTGGAAGGTTGTATGGGTGAACAAATGAATATGTAGACAATGATATTATACATAAGAGGAGATGAAGCACAGAATACAGAATATAAGAGCCAAAAGGGCTTCTAGATATGGCAGGTTAAATCTTTCATTTTGCATTTTCCATTTACATTTATCAAATAAAACTGGAGTCAGGAAACGTATCTTGCCAAGGATTACATAGCTCCTAGCTGAGACATTATCCCAGGGTTGTGCCACGCCACTTTTCTTCCGAACACAAGTGTGTGAAGATCTATGATCATGCATATAAGACATCTCTAACTGGGAAATCAGGTTCTAATGAAAATTATCTGTCTGAACTTTAAAGAAAGTATCTTTACCTGCAAGTATCAACTGGGCTCAGATCCTTACTTGGATGACTAATGATTCTCTTGGTTCTTATATGTCTACACAAGAGAAGACAAGTTTGAACCTGGGAGATCACTTGGATCCCCCAAAGTGCACAGTCATTAAAATCGGCCAATATAAGACCAGGACAGGGACTCCTGGACCAATGATGGTGATAATATTTCTAGATGTTTTATAGACACAGCATATTAGTGATTTGTGATACAAACACCATGCTATATATT